CCCCCCCCCTGGGGGAAAAACCCCTCAAAACCCCGGGGGCCCCCCCGGTCAGAAAAAACCCCTTTAAGGGGGCGTTTAATCTTTTTTGGGGGGCTCCCCCCCCCCCCCCCCCCTCTTCCAGGCGAGACCGTGGCCAAGGCGATCGACTCTGCCGTGCTGGTGGTCGACGGCATGCCATGCAAGGTCAAGGGAGCGCACGGCATCTGAGTCGCCCCGCGGGCACCAGACGCCCAACCTGCTCAAGCTCAAGTGAACCGGATCGGCCGCACACCGCGCTCCTTTACGCGCCCTCGCGCCCTGGCAAGGCTTCGACCGGGTGTCGGCCACGCCGCAGGCCCAGCGCATCTGGCTCTCGCACCGGTGGCTTGAGTCTGAGGGGGGGGGGGGGGGGGGGTGCTCTGTGTGAGTAGTGCGTGTGGCCGTGTGCCGCTACGCGCGGGCGCCAGGCGTGACCCGGGAGTGAGTTCCCCTCTATAAATGTATTCCGTGGAATATTTGTGGACGTGGATTCGAATCCCGAAAAAAGCGACCTCGAACGTCGAAGCGCTGGTAGCGTGGTTTAAACTCACACCCATGGTCTCACAGTGTGCCGGGCGGCAGTCGCCGAGCAGTGTCGCTCACACAAGCCGCAGCACAAGTGGCTGAGGGCCAGTGAGGGCGAGCCCATCGCTGTCACAGCTGTGGCAGCCGCACAGTAGGCTGTGCTACTCGTCGCCCTGAATGGTTGCCCAGGTTGTGGGGGACACGATCCCGGCGTGAACACGACTAATTGACGGATCCGTTCCTGACAGTCGCACGCGCCGCGCTGCGGCGCGTGCGACTGTCTTTGTTTGAAGTAAAAAGTCGAATCAGAGCGCCGTCGGCGTTGTCCCCCGATTTGTCCCACGGACCGCCCGTCCGGGACCGCTCCGGGACGCACGCCGGGGAAGCACCATCAAGCTGTTGTACGGCCCCGGCATCGCCTCTCCTGGCTTAGCTAGACTGAGAGATATTGTGAACATGGTTGGCCTCTACAATATATACACTGACACTTTACCTCCCAGAGCTCGTCCTGCTCCTGGTCCGCCACGGCCATCCTCGGCCTCCGGAGGGCCCCCGGCCGCGGCGCGGTGCGGCGGCGTCACAAATCCGACCACAGAGCACCGGGACGCGGTCGGGCGATCTGAGGCCCAACTAGGCGTATGCATTGCCCATCCAGGGCTATCACCTGGACCCATCAACAGGCGCCTGTGGCGCCGTGGTCACGAGGTGTTGTTCACACCTGGGCAAGCATTCATGCAGCACAGTAACTGTGTAGAGCATGTGAGCAGCAGAGGAGCTTCATTCACTCCAGGCTTCAGGCGCAAAGAGATGCATGCCACCGAAGGCGCTGTCGAGGTTCGCCGAGTGCGGCGCAGGTTGGAGGACACCGTCACCGACGAGAGCGCGTTGGACTTTTCACTCCGGACAAAGCGGCTACACGCACACGCGAGCCGCGGTCGTGTAGCCGTCATAGCGGCGAGGCGCGGGACCGTCTGTGGCGAAGTGGGTCGCGTCCTCCGATTCCTCAACCCCCGTAGAGAGGCGGAGAGGGCAGAGGCGCCCCGCCGCCGCGCGCACGTCTTATTACGTTTCTGGGTCCGTTTATATAAATATTTACTCTCGTGAGGCTGTGAAGTCACGGCTGCGCTTGTGCGCCTCGTTGTGCGCGGCCTGTGTGCACGGCGCCCACCCCGTGCCCCGAGACCTGAGAGCCCTGAAGCGGATTCGTCTTTAATTCACACAAAAAGTGTCGCGCTGCGGCACGGCCGCACTCGCCACTCGAGACTTGCCAGGTGGATAAGGCGGTGGCGAGGGCGGAGGCGTCGGCGCCTTGCCAGGAGGATATGGCGGCGGCGAGGGCGGCGGTGTAGGTGCTTTGCCAGGCGGGTAGGGGGGAGGCGACGGCGGCGGCGTTGGCGCCTTGCCAGGCGGATAGGGCGGCGGCGACGGAGGCGGGGTAGGTGCCTTGCCAGGCGGGAAGGGCGGCGGTGTCGGCGCCATGCCCGGTGGATACGGCGGCGGCGAGGGTGGCGGCGTTGGCGCCTTGCCAGGCGGGTACGGTGGCGGCGAGGGCGGAGGCGTGGGCGCCTTGCCCGGTGGATAAGGCGGCGGCGAGGGTGGCGGCGTCGGCGCCTTTCCAGGCGGGTAGGGTGGCGGCGACGGCGGGGGGGTCGGCGCCTTGCCTGGAGGATACGGCGGCGGCGAGGGCGGGGGTGTCGGTGCCTTGCCAGGCGGGAAGGGCGGCGGCGTCGGCGCCATGCCCGGTGGATAAGGCGGCGGCGAGGGCGGCGGTGTTGGCGCCTTGCCGGGCGGGTACGGTGGCGGCGAGGGTGGCGGCGTGGGCGCCTTGCCCGGTGGGAAGGGCGGCGGAGATGGCGGCGGTGTCGGCGCCTTGCCCGGTGGGTAGGGCGGCGGCGACGGCGGGGGTGTTGGCGCCTTGCCCGGCGGATAGGGCGGCGGCGAGGGCGGCGGTGTCGGTGCCTTGCCAGGCGGGAAAGGGGGCGGTGTCGGCGCCATGCCCGGTGGGTAGGGCGGCGGCGAGGGTGGCGGCGTTGGCGCCTTGCCAGGCGGGTACGGCGGCGGCGAGGGCGGCGGCGTGGGCGCCTTGCCAGGCGGGTACGGCGGAGGCGACGGTGGCGGTGTCGGCGCCTTGCCCGGTGGGTAGGGCGGCGGCGACGGCGGGGGGGTTGGCGCCTTGCCTGGCGGATAGGGTGGCGGCGAGGGCGGGGGTGTCGGTGCCTTGCCAGGCGGGAAAGGTGGCGGTGTCGGCGCCATGCCCGGTGGGTAGGGCGGCGGCGAGGGCGGTGGGGTCGGCGCCTTGCCAGGTGGATAAGGCGGTGGCGAGGGCGGAGGCGTCGGCGCCTTGCCAGGAGGATATGGCGGCGGTGAGGGCGGGGGTGTAGGTGTTTTGCCAGGCGGGTAGGGGGGAGGCGACGGCGGCGGCGTTGGCGCCTTGCCTGGCGGATACGGCGGCGGCGACGGAGGCGGGGTTGGTGCCTTGCCAGGCGGGAAGGGCGGAGGTGTCGGCGCCATGCCCGGTGGGTAGGGCGGCGGCGAAGGTGGCGGCGTAGGAGCCAAGCCAGGCGGATAGGGCGGCGGTGACGGGGGCGGCGTCGGAGCCTTGCCAGGTGGGAAGGGCGGAGGCGTCGGTGCAGCTCCGGGCGGGTAAGGCGGCGGCGATGGCGGGGGTGTCGGGGCCCTGCCCGGCGGGAACGGCGGCGGGGAGGGCGGCGGCGTGGGCGCCCTGCCAGGAGGGTACGGCGGCGGCGAGGGGGGAGGAGTTGGCGCCATGCCGGGCGGGTAGGGCGGCGGCGAAGGTGGTGGCGTCGGTGCCTTGCCGGGCGGGTAGGGCGGCGGGGAAGGTGGCGGCGTCGGAGCCCTTCCCGGTGGAAAGGGAGGAGGGTGCGGCAGCGCGCCATACGGCGGTAAAGGCGGTGGCGTTGGCGCCATGCCGGGCGGGTACGGCGGAGGCGAGGGCGGCGGGGTCGGCGCCTTGCCAGGAGGGTAAGGGGGCGGCGAGGGCGGCGGCGTGGGCGCCTTGCCAGGCGGGTACGGCGGCGGTGTCGGCGCCATGCCTGGCGGATACGGCGGCGGCGAGGGCGGAGGGGTGGGCGCCTTGCCGGGCGGGTAGGGCGGTGGGGACGGAGGCGGCGTGGGTGCCTTGCCGGGTGGATACGGCGGCGGCGTCGGTGCCGTTCCCGGTGTTTTCGGGGGGGGCGAGGGCGGCGGCGTCGGCGCCTTCCAGGCGGGTACGGC